CGAACACAAAAGGGGAGGGGGGAGAGAGAGAGAGAGAGAGGGTGAGAGAGAAAGAGAACAAAACGAGAGACAGGGGGGGGGGATCGAGAAAAAGAGAGAGAGAGAGGGATATGTATCTAGAGAGAGAGAGAGTTCGTAATACGAACTTCGTATGACATAAGGAGATGAGGCAGAGAACAGTTTTGCAGTTAGCGTTTGCTTCGTCGGGGCCCTTGAAAAGTAGGGGGACATGCGATTCTGGTCGTACATCTACACATGGAGAGAGGTTGCGGTATGTCATAAAGAGCTGGATCAGCATGAGAGAGTAGGAGATACAGCGGAAGCGGTACACCGCAGTGAGTACAACGTTGCGCACAATGAGTGTATATACAGATGAACATACCGCAGGGAGTCCACATTAGATAGACGTGCGCAGGACAAGGCGAAAGGACATACAACTATAACATAATAGGGAAGGGGAGGGAGGGGAGAGAGGGAGAGAGACAGAGCTGGCAGGCGTGGAGTCCCTGGTTTTTGCCAGGGGCAAGCCCACTGCTTGCGATGTGAAGCAGAGATGCACATACATATATCTATATATATATATGCAGACACGTAACTAGACGTACGTATATATACACATGGGTATGGTTTGACACATTTTCGTACACACACATTTATCTATACATATATGTACATCTATATATGTGTGTGTGCAAGACTGCATTGGCGCTTCTTGCCATGCACCTTGGTCTCTGAGGCTTTGCATATGTTGGTCGTTCGCACCATCCCTAGTGGCCTTGGAAATTCTTGACGCTTCGCGTATCCCCACCAGCTGACCCGGACGCCGCTTCCGCTCCCTGTCCGTTGCCTTGGAGCCGCTGACCAAAACAAATATCCCCACCAGCCTAGGTCTTTGATTATCGGCAATCCTTTGACGGCGCGCGGCTCTTCCGCTTGCGCTCGCGAACAAAAAGTATCCCCACCAGCCCATCCAGAAACGATCAGCAGGGGAATTGGTGTATCAGGGGCGACAGGACGCATGCAGTCGCGCAGCTGTCTTCGGGAAAACAAGGGTCACACATAACAAGGATCACACATAACAAGGTGCTTCTCCCGCCTTGAAGTTTAGGATGAAAACCAGAGCAAGCTACAATGGTGCTTCGATGAGGGGTGAGGGGTCTTTCGATGACTCGTAATGGCTGTTGCACTGGTTTGTATCTTCAACTCGCTTGACCCGCTCTTGGAGCGCTCTTGGGCGCTCTTCGGGCCGTCTTGGGGCCCTTTTGGGCCCCTCTTGGGGCTATCTTGGACCCTTTTGGGGCCATCTTGAGGCCTCAAGAGCCCATCAGAGCCGAAAAAGCGAGAAGGCAAAAAACAGTGGTTGTCCTTAGGCTTTTGAAGGATGCTGGCCTCTTGGGGGGGTCCTCGGAGGCCTCGGACAGCACTTGAAACCGTCTTGGGGTCGTCTTGAGGCCTCTTGGACGTGTGTCGGAGGCTATCTTGACCCATCTACCGCTATCTTGGGCCAGCTTGGAGGCCATCTTGTTCTCTCTGCGGCCCTCTTGGAGCCATCTTGGGCTATCTTGGACGCTGCTATGGGTCGGGCCCCCCCCGTCTAAACGCATGGAGGGGGGGGAGGTAAACCTCCCAAGCAGGAAAAGGAAGGAGGTTGGAAAAGGAAACGCCCTAGACCACCTGCGCCCAGAGGGCTGGTGGGATTTGGCCCCATTCCCTGCGGTGGTTTTCAGAAGTCTTCGAAAGTTCGGGCGGTCCCTGTCCGTTCCTGGGCCTCGGGGGGGCTCCTGAATGGCGCCGGGTGGAGGGCGAAGGATAGGAGGGAGGCAATCTCGGAGAGCGAGGAAAGGAAGCGGATGTTGGGGAGGACGAGTGGTGGAGCGGCAGAATGAGGAGGAGGCTGGCGCCGTCGGGGGACGGCGCAGAATGTTGCAGCGGGTTATAGCGGGTTGCAGCGGGTCGCAACGAGGCACGCGAACGCAAGTAATTCTCAGGGAATGCATTCAATCCCGGGTTCGGAACAGATTTCCAGGATTCGTGGTTGCGAGTCTGGGATTCGGGTCAGTTTGATGGAAAACGCCGTGTGGGCCTTGTTTGAGCCCTGGTGGGCCAGCCGGCTTGGGGCCATCTCGAGCAGTCTTGGGGCCATCCTGGGCCGTGTTGGGGAGCTTGGGCCCTCTAGGGACCTTACTGGGGCTACGTAGGCCATCCTGTTGGCCTCCCACGGCCTTTTTCGGGGGACTTCCTTGGCCTTCTTGGGCTTCTCATGGGGGCCTTGTGAAGGCCTGTTGGGCCTCTTTTGGCTGATTTGGGGTTTCCTTGGGCAGTCTTGGGGCCGTCCAGGCCGTCTAGAGGCTCTCTTGGGGGTCTCTTGGGCCGTCTAGGTGCGATACTGGAGGACGTCTTGGCTGTTTGAGACGCTGCGAAGACCCGAACAGCGGCTGTGCTGAAAAGGTACGTTTCCCGAAGGGACTGGGCCGTCTTGGGAGCCTTTGGAGGCCTTTTGGGTCCTTCTTGGAGCGCTTGGGCTGTATTGGGTCTTTCTTCGGCCTCTCTGATCACCGCTCTGATCGGTTCGGGGCCTTCTTGTGAGGGCCTGTTGGGCCTCTTTTGGGCTCATTTGTGGATTCCTTGGGCAGTCTTGGGGCCATCCAAGCCGTCTAGAGGCTTTCTTGGGGGTCTCCTGGGCCGTCTTGGGCCGAAACCGGAGGCCTTCTTGGTTGTTTTGGGCGCTGCTTAATCCCGAACAGCGATTGTACTGAAAATGCACGTTTCCCAAAGGAACGATCGGATTGTTGCATTCTGGGAGCCCTGTTGAGGGCCTCCTGGGCCGTCTTGGGCGCCTCTGGAGACCATGCGGGTCCTTCTTGGAGCGCTCATGTGCTGTCTTGGGTCTCTTTTCGGCCTCTCTGATCACTGCTCTGATCGCCTGGGGCCTGCTGGCAGGACCTGGCTAAGCGCCCTGGGCGAGACGAGCTGGGGGACCTTTGGCAAGGATGTCCGGGGGGCCCAGAAACCCGCAAACTTGGGGGTCCAGTTCGGGGGGGGGACGGGGTTCTACCCCCCCCCCCCCCCCGTTCGCAAAAGCGTAAGAAGAGGACGATATGATTATAGATAGATGTGTATGGATACACCTTTATGTTGCTTATATATATGTGTGTATATATATATAAATATGTATATATATATATTCATATATAGTAAGTGCTTACATGTGTGTACGCGCGCGTGTGTATAAGTGCAGTACTTGTTCTATCTACCCGTTGAAGTCGACCTGCCTCTGTTCTCTCACACATATATGTATTATATATTGCCAGCTGAACTATGCTTCCTGCTCTCTGCCATGTCTTCTCTACGTTCTACTCTTGTATGCTCGCCTCCGACCCTGGTCGCAAGTACCCGGGAACCTTACCGTATTAGAAGGCCCATATTATGTAGAGATGTGTGTGTGTTTCTGTCTTATTATTCACAGGCACTGAAACATGTGTACATATATATATAGTTTACACAGATCTGCTGATTATTACCTAACAGCGAAGACTGATAGGTTTCTAGTAGGCTCAAAAGAGAGCATCATGACGCCCCAGGGGGGTCTGGGCAGATGCCGGACGGGTGCCGGGGAGAATCCGCGGAAGTCGTTTTAAGCAAACAGTTACACACTTCGTGGTCCTCGAGGTCCCAGAACTCCATTCCCGGGCCACATTCTGAATGCCCGGAGCCAATTGTAGGCCACTTCGTGGTCTTCGAGTTCCCAGAACTCCATTCCCGGACCACATTTTGAATGCCCGGAGCCAACTGTAGGCCACTTCGTGGTCTTCGAGTTCCCAGAACTCCACTCCCGGGCCACATTTTGAATGTCCGGGGCCAACTGTAGGCCACTTCGTGGTCTTCGAGTTCCCAGAACTCCATTCCTGCATTTTGAATGCCCGGAGCCAACTGTAGGCCACTTCGTGTTCTTCGAGTTCCCAGAACTTCATTCCCGGGCCACATTTTGAATGCTGAGGCAGGCTGATGCTGAGGCTGAGGCAGGCTGAGGGTGAGGCAGGCTGAGGCTGAGGCCGAGGCTGAAGGCAGACTGAGGCTGAGGCTGAAGCAGGCTGAGGCTGAGGCTGAGGCTGAGGCAGGCTGATGCTGAGGCAGGCTGAGGCTGAGGCTGAGGCTGATGCAGGCTGAGGCTGAGGCAGGCTGAGGCTGAGGCGAGGCTGAAGGCAGACTGAGGCTGAGGCTGAAGCAGGCTGAGGCTGAGGCTGAGGCAGGCTGAGGCTGAGGCAGGCTGAGGCTGAGGCTGAGGCAGGCTGAGGCTGAGGCTGTGACTGCGACTGCCGTTGCCACTGCGACTGTCATCGCGAATGCGACTACGACTGCGAGAACAGCAGAATTCTACAACTGGATTCTCATCTGAATCTTAAGGGGAATGTTTCCACATATGCTCCTACACATCGCTGTTAGGTTGCTTTGCCGGGATAATGGTATTCAGTGCTTTTACGTGTTTACACGCGCGTGTGTGCAAATGCAGTGCATATTATATCTGCCATTTGAAGCCGACCTGTCTCTGTTCTCCCAATCATATGTGTACTCTATCTTGTCTACTGAACTATGCTCTCTGCTCTCTGACATGTCTTCTCTACTTTCCACTCTGTATGCTCGCCTCTGACCCTGGTCGCAAGGACCCAGGAACCTTACAGCTGCTGGGAGCCCCGGAAACAGGAACCTGGGAGCCTGGACGCCCAGAACGCAAAACCGCAAACTTCGGAATCCGACCGTCACCGAAATCGTCCCCACGGTTTTCGCTGACTCTTTCAGTCTCTTGCAGGTCCCCGTTAGTCCAAGGGCTGGCTTCACAAGTTGTTTTCACTTTCAAATGTACACTCTTCCGCAGCCGTTTTGGTTCAAGCGCTTCTCAAGCGGCCTCGTCGGCAGAGTTCCCCCCCAGCGACTTTGCTCCGCCTTTGCACAGCGCCTAGCCGATGCAGTGCTGCCTCCCTCTCGTGGGCTGGGTCGCGCAGATGGTGGCGCCCGTCGCCGCGCCAGGCGGCCCGCAATCCGCGGCCCGCGCGGCGGTCGCCCGCGGGGGCGGCTGGCGGGGCGGCGGGTGGAGAGTGGAGCGAAAAAGAGCTCCAGAGAGGTAGCCGCATGAAGCTGCCGCCCTACGCGGTGGACAGCTGCAGCGGGTCCAGCAGCAGCGGCCTGACGGACAGCACCAGCAGCGTCGGCAGCCTCCCTTTCGCTTGGCACCCCGCCGCTTCGGCGCGCCCGGGCGCCCGGGATCTCGTGCACGAGCAGTGGCTCGCCGGCGAGAGCTCCGACGAGGACGCCGACCAGGGCTGGCGGGGCAGCGAGGCCGCTCCCAGGCCAGAGGCGGACGGCCAGCGCGCCGACGGGTCGCTGTCGATTGCCCCGAGGAGCCGCGCACGGCCGCAGGAGAGAGAGCTGCGCGTGGCCTTCGCTGCGCTCCCAGCGGTCAGCGGCACCGGCTAGCCGGCGCCAGCGCGGCCGAGCAGGTCGAGGTCGACAAGCTGTCGCTGTAGCTCACCGGGCGCTCTCCACGACTCGCAGAGTGCCTCTGCCTCGACGTGATGTGTCGTAGGTCCTCCCCGGCGGATCCAGGCCCTTTGCGAGTAGCTACTTCGCGAGCAGTGGAGCGCGCTCGTCTAGTGGCTATAGCGCCGAGGGCCGCCAGCGTCGCCTCGTCTTCCTCCCCGCTTCGCCGTGTGCGGGCGTGCAGGCGTGCAGGAGCGAGGCTGCAGGGCCCCCTTGGCTCCGGCTGCCGCCCCCCTCGGTCGGCGCCGCGCGGTGCATATCGAAGTCTCTTGGACGCGCGAGGGGCTCGCAGGGTGCTGCACACGCGCTCTCTGCACCTCGGCCTCGCCGTGTGTCGTCTTGCCGCCCCGCTCTGGTCCTCCTCCCGCTCCTCACTCTCAACGCCTCTCTCTCTATCCCTCTCTCTCGTCGTGCTGCCTCTGCTGCCACCATCATCGCACGTGTGGCTTCACAGCAGCTGGCGCCCCTTGTATGTGATGGCGTAGGGTTCAGTGTGCGCTGGGCCCGACGTGGCTGTGTGTGGGGGGGGGCCTTCGTCCTCCTGTCGCACTCGTTTTCCCTCCCTCTCTCCTCTGTGGCTCCCGTCTTTGCACATCATGCTTTCTGCATCAGTTGGCGGGGGGCAGGAATGTATTCAGAGATGGCATGTGCTGCTCTTGGTGTCGATTCCTGGGGAGGGCGCCCTCGCACACGCGCGATGTCTTTACTCGCGGGCCACGCTTCTGCGCAGCGATCCGCGTGCAGGGTCCTGCGCTCCGCTGGCAATTGAACCAAGGCGTTGAATCTGCCCCTCCTGGCGATCGCGCGCCGGGACTTGCACTCTGTTGCCGCCCAGCAGTGGTGCCAAATTTCGTGCCCCTCTCTTCCCTTTTCCCGGGAAAGATTGAAGGTTCCAGCTTCGTGAAATTTGCCAGCCTCTCTGGACGCACTGGTTGCATGAAAGGCTTCGCTATTGGAAGCTGGCCGTGCCCGTCAGGTGTGCTGTGGCGAGCGGAAGGCAGTGACCGTGTATAGTACGTTGCAGCTATCACTGATCAGCGGCGCCGCGCGGCAACAGGCCGCTGAATTCTGTCGCGTAGAAACGATCGCATGTACGCTCTCTATGTATAGGTATTTGCACATACTTAGGTATGCATATATACATATATATGTATGCACGCATGCATGCATGTATGCATGTACGCAGGTATGTGTATGTGTACATACGTATGTATACACATACATACGTTCATATATACAATAGATGTACACATGTAGAGAGATAACGGTATATCGCTTTCTAGCGCGCTCTTGCTTTCTGTTCCCAACCATCCTGTGGTGTTGGGTTTTCGTTTTGAAGAGACGGTCCCCGCGTCTCCTCCTCCTCCTCCTCCTCCTCCTCCCTCCTCCCCCCCTTCTCCCTCCTCCATGCGGTTCACCTACCCAGTACAGCGCTTCGTGGCCCCATAGGGAGCTCCACGTGAGGCCCCAGTGGGGGGTATCACATGCGTCTGCCACACCCAGTACAGCGCTTCGTGGCCCCATAGGGAGCTCCACGTAAGGCCCCAGTGGGGGTACCACATGCGTCTGCCACACCCAGTTACAGCGCTTCGCGGCCCCATAATAGGGAGCTCCACGTAAGGCCCCAGTGGGGGGTACCACATGCGTCCGCCACACACAGTACAGCGCTTCGTGGCCCCATAGGGAACTCCACGTAGGGCCCCATTGGGGGGTACCACATGCGTCTGCCACACCCAGTACAGCGCTTCGTGGCCCCATAGGGAACTCCACGTAAGGCCCCAGTAGGGGGGGGCCACATGCGTCTGCCACACCTAGTTCAGCGCTTCGTGGCCCCATAGGGAGCTACACGTAGGGCCCCAGTGGTGGGTACAACATGCGTCTGCCACACCCACTACAAAGTTTCGTGGCCCCATAGGGAGCTCCACGTAAGGCCCCAGTGGGGGTACCACATGCGTCTGCCACACCTGGTACAGCGCTTCGTGGCCCCATGGGGAGCTCCGCGTAAGGCCCCAGTGGGGGGTACCACATGCGTCTGCCACACCCAGTACACCGCTCGCAAAGTGTCAACATGGCCGTCCAAGGCCCGTGCATCCTTATCGTGGATCCTGATGGCACGGGTTGCCTGTACCCGAGAGTTCAGATGCAAGCTAGGTGCGCTCGCGCCACATCTGACATCCGACCCATCACACTTATCCCTTGACACTGTGTTGACTAAGTGTCTTATCCTCCGAGCGGTGTGTCCTGGAAGACCCTGACCTCCAAATGTTGGTCGAATGATTCGGCCTACCGTTTGCTGTACAATCGGCGAGGGGGGCTTAGTGACCAGTCGAGAAGGGAGAGGAGGAGCATGAGGAACAGCTGAAGGAGGAGAATGAGGATGCGCAGGAGAAGCAAGAGGAGCAGGGGGAGCAGGTGGTGGCGGAGGAGGGACAAACAGATGTCAGCAACGGCGAGGGAGGAGTCGGATCCATGAACGTGGTCCGCGCACGGGCGAGAGCGTCATTCCGATCGACAGAAGCAAAGCACCGATCTTGGAATGGAGTCAACGCTGCAGCGGGGACACCATTTTGAAGGACTAGAGGCGTCCCGATTGACAACACCAGGTTGTCAAGTACCATTGGAAAGCTATAGGTGGGCACCAACACCGAAACTATTGCCTTGCAGGTGTGACAAACCACCGTCCCTGAGCACCATCAGTGGTTGACTGTATTTCTCTACTGGCCTTTCTTGTGATCGAGGAAATCACCGCGCATGCAAACATCGAACTCGTGTAGGCCGTCAGGTTCGAGTGTCCGTGTGCTTGTTCGCCCATGGAAGTTGACGACGAAGCGACGGCACGATCCATGGTCAAGTTGTAAGGTTGTTTCAGGTGGGAGAGACGCGCAGTAGTGAATTGTCAGAAAATCACACGAGAGAGCGTTGCCAGGAAGGAACGCTTGAAGTCGACAAAGTGTTCTTTGGTTGTCGCAACTCGAATGGCGGTGTTGGTGATGCTGTTTAGGTTGCCACTGTGTCACCTGTACTGCCACCAGCACGGGTTACCATCGAGAGCCTTGCGCGGCTTGCAGTGTTTCCTCTGGGCCTTCGGCAGTGGTTTGCGGACCAGCGTGGGCGTTCTTATGATCCTCGCCGTACTCCCGCCACGGGAGTCGGAGGAGGTGCTGGGGGCGGAGGCCTCTACGATGCAGGCAGGCTGGCGAATGGCCAAGGTGGGCTTACGACAGCTGCTTCCCGTAGGCACGCGAGGCCAAGGACGCCATCCCAGTGCGCACTCGTGCGTGTTTGGATGGACGTCGAGGCGCAAAGTGGCCGCGAGGGGCGACAACCGGCTGTGAGTTTGTTGTTTGTGGGCCCCAGTGCTGGTGGACATGTAGCTATGGGCCTCCCGCACCAGCGCTCGAGATGCCAAGGTGAGTGGGCTACGCGGTAAAGGCGGGAGCGGGGCTGGTGGATGTCGGGGGGCAGGGGCGAGTGGTGTCCGTCATGTATAACGGTAGAGTTGAGAGGGGACGAGGTGACCAGGACGAGGGGGAGAATGTAGAGGTATGGGCAGGAGGATGCGAAGGAGGTGCAGCAGTTGGAGCAGAGGGGAGGGAAGGGCGCGACCGAAGCACTTTCGCCGCTGGTATCGGTGTGACCCCCCCCGCTCCTGGATTCCTTCTGCTGCAAGAGTCATCGTCTGCAGTTTTCCCTGCCCCTTTGCGGGCCAGATATTGAAGCAATTCATGTCACGAAGTCATTGCCCGATAGTTGTTCTTCTTCCCTTCTCTTGACTCTGTCTCCTGTTCCACCTCCTTCACTCTCATCCCTATTTGCCAGAAACAGGTTATTCAGCATCCCTGCCCCGCGCAGAAGGTTCGATTACTGAAGCCGCTTGTGCAGTTCAAGGATCTGGCGTCCCGTCGCGAGGAAGGATGATGTGGGGGAGGAGCAGTAGGTGCAGTAGGAGTTTGCGTCATCCCAGGCGCAGGTTGCAACGCAGAGCGTACATATAGTGGAGCGTTGCTCCCAAGAGATCTGCAGATGCAGAGCGCTTCTTGAGAGGGAAAGATTCGGACTGGCACGAGGGATCAAGGAGAAGCCAGAGGCGGCAGGTAGATGTCCCACACGGCTTCACGCGCACCAGCCTTCCGCCTCCACATGTCACATGTTCCCCATCCCCCTGAGAAAGATAAACGATCGACGACTAACAACTTGCAGTCCGGAACGAGCACGAGGAAGTGGAGGGGGAGGGCGACGAGGACGACGACGAGGCGGAGGATGAGGAGGAAGAGGAGGAAGAGGAGCAGAAAGAATGAGTGTCGACGCGGCTCGTTTGCGGCGGTGGAGATCGACAATGTAACAGAGCTGGCTTTTGTAACGGCACGGGATAGATTGTAAAATATATATATATATGTCAACGATCGTCGACAGCTCTCCTCGCGCCTTCCCCCACTGTCGCAGGCCTAGAGATTGACACCAACACCAATTTCGGCGGTGTGCCTCCTCCGAGGGAAGAAGATCCCGATCTCGATGATGGTAGTAATATTCTGGCTTCCAAGGTGACCGAACTATTACCACCAACACCGAAAATCTAGGATCATCTTCCCCCTGTGGAGGCAACCCCCTGTGTTGGTGTTGGTGCCATTTTCCAGGGCTCCAACACTGCTATTTTCGCTATGCGCCGGGAACCGATGGTTGCCTGGTTCTGCGTACTGCAAGTGCGTCTCGCTCTCGCGTCTCCAATTCGCCAAGTTTTTTTTCTAGCGGTTTGAAGCGGGGCGCCAATGGCCGTTCAGGTTCCAGGCCACTCGTCCGACAGTGTTCTTTCTGGTGCTATTCTCGTCGCGTCTCCTTTGTGGTCGGCCGCGGTGCGGTGTTGGGTTGTTGCCGCGTGTCCATCGAGTCCGAAGTATTCCAAGATCTCCTTTCTTTTCCCT